TGGTCTCTTCCCACCTTAATGATTCTGTGATTTCAAGATACTGTAAGGAGCAGCTCAAAAACTGACACATGTCCTCTCCTTTCAAAGAGGTCAGCTTCTCTGGCAGCTCCTAGGCACATCCGCCCCATGTCCCACATTCCCACAGAAGAAAATGCACTTGTACAGCACTGACCCTGGAAGGTTTCTCTTAGAGCAGGGCTGGATTTGGTCATGGTTAAACACTTGAGCCAATGAATTCCTACAGATAGAAAGCCCTTCTACGTTACTATCTGCTGCTGTGTGAAATATGATTTAATCTACGCTACTGGTAACGATTTTTGCTAGAAGGTACCATCTTACACACACACTTTTCCTCAGGACCAGAAATTGAATCCTATGGACCCTTGGGAATGCTTGCCTGGAAGTCTGCCAGACAAGTGCTTTCCTACAATTATACACTGCGGTGTCAGTGCGTGGGTTCAGCCACCACTTAACAAATTTACTAGATAAACCTCCGTGATTCATACCAGCAGTGCTCAAGTGGCTAACTGCCATGTACTGGCAGGGAGCTGACTAATGTTGCTCGAACAATGAAAGAACTCGCTTGAATAATGAATTGGGTTTTGGCAAATCGATGCAGAGATGACTGACAGTCTGTGTCTCTGCTCCAAAACAAGAGCTGAGCAACAGCAAAAGGGTGAGACAGGCAGCCAACAGCTTGGTACAGGAGGGTCTTACAACTACAGGTGCACCTATTCTCAACAGAAAGGAGCATGTCCTGCTCTCTCCATTTAGTTCAATCGAAAGAGTAGAGCAGGGTCTCTAGAGGATCTCACGCTTTCCTTCATCAGCTCTCCCCTGAACAATAACAACTTGGGGTCAAAGCTACAGCAATCACATCTGTTTTCTTTCCTAATGTGCAAATTGCCATCACAGGTACTTTTAAGACGAAAACAAGAAGTCAGTATTTCATGCCATGAAATTAGCAACTCAGTTTTGGAAAGCCCTGTCTAGAAATTACTCCAATAGCTGGCAGGAACGACCAATTTTCCAGACAAAGTATCCTATACAACTTTAGTAGCAAATTCTGCTCATACATAAAACCCACTTGGGTTAACAAATTTGTCTTTGCTATGATTTAAATCCAGTCAGTGAAAAACAATAACTTGGCCCAAACCATTCCCCCATAAATCTGAAAGCAAACAGAAGCCAAAGCAAGGTATGCATGTAAGGCATTTAACTGCCTCTCTAAAGCAAGAATAATAAAGCACCATTCTTGAGCTATTCTGGAGATGCAAGAATGACTAAGAGTTTCTTCTGGGATGTTAACATTCTAAGAAACAGTGAAGTATTCAGTGTTCATCAATGCTTTGCCCTGGATATCATTCGCATCTTCCCTTGCAGTGGGAATAATCACAGCACTTCCATCACTGCAGAGTGGAACGTACTAAATTTCTGTTGATACTGAGATGAAATATGCAATCGGTTGGGCAATCCAGGTGGATAAATAAAGTCATGTAAGTGCCATATTTCTGGGGCTATAGAGGCCATGCAATCTGCACAGTGCTCAGAACTATTTCACTGCAGCTTTGCATGCGGTCAGAGCCAAGCTGATTGCTCCAGTTTACACAAGAACTGCACAGAAGTGTAACAGAGACCTTCGCAAATGCAAGCTGGAAATCTGGCCACTTTTCTCCCACTCTAAGCACAAGAGGGAAGAATGTATACAGCTGTACACAGAGTCCTATAGCTTTAATATTCAGTGGTCTACAAATAAAAAGTTTTGTTTTGGCTTTTTCCATAACACTGTGGGCTTTTCTTTTTTTCTTTTTTTGTGAAAGGCACAAAACAAGATAGTTTTACATCTACTTCTGTGGCTGCGCTACAGAAGCCCAGAGTTTGCCTGTGGACAGAGCTAAAGCAAAGTGCAACAGAAAAGACTGAGTCAACTTTAGCAAGTCAACTTGCTAAAGATGCAAGTATGAGCTGAGAGAAGCCAACAGGAAAGGTCCTTCCAGAGTGATAAATGATTCCTAGTCCATTCAAAGGATCTGATGGAGGTACTTAGCTCCTCTGTGCTGCGCAGCAAATGGGATAAAGTGACCTATATCAACACAAAGGGAGCTACATGAGTCAGGCTCTCAGTGCATATTCAGCAACTCTAAGCAACAGATGCAGAATAGGTATTTAAACAGTAAACCTTGGACAAATCTGGCAGCCTCCTCATAGGATGCTTTATGTTTGCTGTTTTTAGCTTTTCAAAGTGTCAAAAAGCAGCAGAAAAAATAATGCTGTATAGCCCTACACACCAAGAAACAGTAAGTGGGGTGAAAAGACCTCCGAAGTAAGCTCCACCAAATGAGGTTATGTTATTCAAAGCCCTTTTTTCCTGTAAGACACAAGGTGATGTATCACAGTCTAAATATCCCACTTAGTTCTGTCCCCAATGAAAAACCAAGTGACAAAACAGTGATAAAACAGAAAACCACCCACATTCATCTGGGTTTCCAGCACCACCATCCCACATCACAAAATGCTTTATCAGCAGCTACAGAATCTTAATTTGGCTCTTCTGAACAAGCATCCCAATGTGCAGTGCTGCTCACCAGAAGGATTTACAAATCTCTCCAGAACCTCCTCCAACATCCCGATAATTTTGCTGGCATGAATAAGAAACTTCTGGCATGCAGAACAAGCCACTGCCAGCTGACAACGCAGCGAAGAATTTCTTTCATATCTGAAGTTTGCACGAGTAGGCAGCTGGGACTGTGATGAATTACTATCTCTGATTCCAGCACTAAGTATAAGACATTTATTTGGCAGAGTCTGTTAGGAAAGATGTCGCCAATATCAACTACTGGTATTAGCAAACTTCTTCAGGAAAGCTACCGATGTTGCTCACAGTCTGCTTACAACAGGAGTTAGTACAGCATTTTTTCATTGATTGAACGTTAATTGAATTCTGCACTGTTTCCAAAGAAAAATGGAAACATTTTGTTTTGAAAACAACTCAAATTAATCATTTTCAGTTCTTATTTACTCTTATTCTGGGAGCCAAAGCCTCCTTACAATAAACCTGGACACTTCGCCTGAGAAATAGCATTATCCATCAGTTATTTACTGTGCTTTTCTCTCTAGTTGGTGTTATACTGCCATGTTTTCAGCAGCTAGCACTACAAAGCCTGTTTACACAATCCTGCACATCTGACTTCTCTGCACAAATACTCCAAGGACAAAGCATTTGCCTGGTATCTATTTGGAAACCGACTTGTTTTCTAACCAGTATTCAACCAATCAAGCAGTTCCTTTAGAATACAGGAGCAGTCATCACAGTGGGATGTATTAACTGAAAATCACCAAATATTCACTGATGTGGCTATAAAAGATTCAACCATTTGATCACCAAACTTAGCCTAGTGGGAGGTATCAATGTCCATGGCAGCAGGCTATGACAACGGAATCTTCAAGGTCCCTTCCCAAGCAAATCATTCTGTAATTCTGATCCTATTCTACATCTTTGGCTTGTGCTTCAGAGATGAAAGACGTGCACAACCCAGGAAGAGCAAATACAAAGCAGGTTACAAGCTCCATTTAATTTCACTTACTGAGGCCATGTAATTATTTTGTTATTATTACAACCATTATCATTATCTATTATGTTATTATGGTTCTCACCTCACCCTAAATCATTTACTACTGCTATTGGGACACTCCTCTTCAGGGCAACAGAAGTCCCTCCAAAAGCCAAGGAAAGTAATTACTACTGCATTTAAAACATTCTAAATCCACTGCATTATCCAAAGCCCAGTCCTCTGTGAATACCACCCAGCAGCTTCAACAAACAGCTAATCAGCACCTATAGATTTTCCACAGCCCAGCTGCAATGGCTCATTAATGATCTAGCTTGGGGATTTGTTTTTTATGGACTTTGTAATGTTTCGAAGCATGTCAAACCATCATTTAAAGATTCTGTTGAGTATAAATTTAATTGCACCACACTTCAACCAGAGTCATAAAATCACAATCCTTTTTTTAAATACGCATTTTAAAATATCCAAATAAATAGCTTTAATCTTCTGAAGATCTAGAAAGAATTTAGCTAGAAAACTTACTTTTTAAAGTACAGTACATCTCTGGGATGAGCTCAAAGTGTTAGCAGAGATAATTATCAGAGAGATTATGCAGATCTTATTTTCAAAAGGTTTTGTTTGTTCTTTTGTTACATAATTGCTTAGTGTTCATTTGGAACTTAGAAAATAGAAAGCATCAGTGAAATACCAAGCATTATTTATTTAACAGGAAAATAATTTTGCCAAACAGGATTAACATCTTCAGCATCATTTGCTGTATTTGGAAATGTCTTGTTAACCTGGAGAGCTGCTCAGTCATCTAACTTTGGCAGCACTGCAAATGGGAAATGTGCTTTACCACTATTGTTTTTAAAGTATTTCAGAAGAGAAACAGCAAGAAGCAAAGGTGCACTGTAGTATTTTGTGAGTTCTTTCATTTCTAGTCTTGCTGGTGATGAAGGCCGTCACACTTATGAGACTTCTGTAAGTCAACTTGTTGGCCTTGTAAGTCAAACCACTGCAATAGAGTACGCAATCACCACGGAATCACTAAATGTTTACAGAACTGGATAAACCCACCTCAAATGTTTCCAAGCCTGCCCAAACTTACAAGCAAAACTCAATCAGGCTGTGTGGATTAGAGCATACAATCCAACTTCTGACCAAATTTCAGTCAAGGTCTTTTAAATGTGATAGAAACCATCTTTAAAGTATAAAAAAGAGGACATTAATTCAATACATAATTATCACTGGACACACAGACTTACTATACTTATTCTTGCAAACAAGTTAAAAGTTTTAACTATAAATTCAAGTTCATTTAATGATCATTTACAGGGACTTCAGTTTCTCTATAGTGTCAAAAAACTTACTGCAAATATTCTATGCAATCATCTCACTGCATATGCAATCACCTTTGGCTTAAACACGGTAAAAGCGAATTCTACTTACAGCCAACCATCATCATGGCCACTGAAAAAATCTTCTCTCCATCAGTGGTTGGTGCTATGTTTCCAAATCCTATCGTTGTAAGGCTTGTCATGGTAAAGTAGAGAGAGGATATGTACAAGGAATCTTTACTGGGTCCTCCTTCCCACTGCCCTGAGCCAGTGGTGTTGTATCGATATGGTGTCCCAATACTCAGTGCCAACTGGTAGAGCCAGCTATCTGTTTTGATTGTGTTAGTGACTTCATCTATAACTTCATAGTCCCCGATGCTGTACCATATGCAGGCTAGCCAGTGGGCCACCAGTCCAAACACACACACCAGCAGTACCAGTACGGCAGCACCATATTCCAAATAATGGTCCAACTTTCTGGCAACTCGACCAAGTCGGAGAAGACGCACCACTTTTAGTGAACTGAAGAGGCTACTGATCCCCTACAAAAGAAAAAAGATTATTATTTCATCAGAGGAATCCTGCTGGTTAACAAAGAAAATTACAGCGATTCCTGCAGCTGTGTGAAACCTTTCCATACAATTTCTAGTGCCTTGGATGAGAGATGATGCAGTACTTTTGTCCTCAGCAGGGTAAATTAAGTTTGGCATTGGATAGCTGTATAAGTTACTTAGTTTAAACTTAAATCTTTCAAAGTAACAAAAGAATCCTGTGAAATTCAAAGTGAGAAATGGCATGTTCGTTACAACACGGATGAACTTTCACCAACTTGAAGTAAATGGTACATTTTGCTTTGACCTCCGAAGTCAAACGTGGAGGAGCAGCGATTGAAGTACACCATTAGGGGAGCTTTCCTCCAAACTGCCCAGAACACAACAGCAATACATTAAAACCAAGGAAGGGGGATTGTCACTCTGACCAAAGTGGTGTGGTCCATCTGCCTCAACAGCCTGCAGCATTACCAGATGCACAAGAGAAACATTAGAAAGTAATTGTAATTACTTTTAAAAATAATATAGAAATCTGCCCGCTGCTCTTGCATCCATCAGACAGTAGCTGGCTAACTTCGGTCCAACACTCTCCATCTCATTGTATGCTTTATTACAGCTAATGTAACGGCCAGTTTTGTTATTTGTAAGTAAATCTCACTGACTGAACACAGACCTAAAAACTGTGTGGGCGCATCACCTCTCCGAAGTGAGGGCAATACAGACTGCAGAGCACTGGCAAGAAAGCTGCATGCCTTTCCACACAGGGTTAATTTCTTTGCATATCAACAGATATTGCAGATACTTTCCTAAAGCAAGAATTCAGCATTCAGAGTAGTTTTTGTTTTTTTTTTTATCAGCCAAGATAAATGAAGTACAAGTAAGTGCAAGCACAAATATTTATGGAACAGAAGCACAGGGACAATCAAAAAGTTGATGGAAACGTCTGAGAGGAAACAACAAGAAATGTATTTGTTCTTCTACGTACACACAGTTGGCAATGTATTTTAACAGAGTTTATAGATGCAGAAAGAAAAAAAACATGTTCCTGATCTATTGCAATCCCATGAAATGCCTAACATGTGCATTAAATTAATTAGTGATTTAAAATAGAAGCTTTGCAAAAGAAGGTTTCTAATATAAAACATTAAATTAAATGTCTCCAGATTCTGAAAGTCGAAATTAAGACACAGAAAGCAATGAGGCAAACATTCCTAGTTACCGTGCCAAGATTAAATTGCCCTTTTCTATGCATCATTATCAAATCAGTCTAGTCAAAACACTGGCTAATTATATTATCAAACAGTAAAAAACTTCACTTTCTGGAGTTTTCCTTATGAGAATCTTCCCCCTTTTGCATCTCTGTTTCTTCGCACAATTAACGTTTGAAGAGTGAAATGCAACTGATATTGCTAGATGTAATCTGTTCAACAAAGTTATTGTATGCTTTTCAAACCCTGTTGGAATTTGTTTCAGATCCCCAAATCCTTAATAAATTGAAGTTCTTTATTTGCATTCAAGCTCACATGATGACTAATATCACAGAGGGAAGTGGAATTTTCACTTCCGTATTTTGCATTTATGCAAGATGCAGGTCTAGTTTATCACTCTTATTTTCATCTAAACATCTACCTATTAATTGATTTGGGATATATATCTTTGAGCCACTCTGCATGGTCAACTTGTGCAGTAATCTGGGAAGTTCTTCAAAGAGTTTGTTATGCAATGGATTGGTTTCAGTGGAATACTGTATGAGTCAGAAACACTGTCACAGAGTCACAGTAAATCACATTATCTAATGTAAAAATAAGAAGAAAAAAAAAAAAGAGAGAGATACATTATTTCCATTTTTGTTGTTTGTTACCAGGAGTATAGCTGAGGAGCTAGAGATCTGAAATCTGAACTTAAAATCCATTTTCTGCACCCAGTAGTTTGCATTTGTCCCAGCAACAAGGCTTACACTGCATTTACTACCATAGAATCCAAATCTAAGAGTCAGTCCCTGACCAGAAAGCCATTCTCCATCTATATTACATCTTCATTCCCGAAATTACATGGGCCGTTTAGCAGTAATACAACTAATATAACAATATAACAATATATATTCATGTCAGAGCCTGGAAGAAAGTCTGTGCCACAGCTTCTCTTTTCCTAAAAGCCAAGATAACAATCATGTATAAAACAAAGAGAAATGTTCTGTTTCAGCTGACATTCAAAAGCATTCTTTCCAAAGAATAATTGAACAAATCTTACTCAAAAGTCCTATAAGTCTTCAGGCCTGCTCAATCTAACACACTGCTCTGTGGAAAAATAATCAGATATGTTTACTGAGAGGTCACATGTCACATCTAATTTTGCAAAATACTGAGACAATGTCAGGAGCCTTAGAAGCGTATTCCATAAAACACTACCTAGGAAAGAGCAATCTGACACATACTAAATGGGCATGTGACTTTACTGCACTATTAAGTGCTGGGTACTTACAGCTGGTCAGAGGAACCTTTATACTTCAAATACCTCTTGACAATATTGGCCCAACTCTTAATACATAAAGCTCTGCCCAAAATACACCAACAGTCCCTTTGCTGAAAATTATACTGAAAACTGCCTCGAATCAAGCCTGAGCTATTACAGATTTTGGTGTTTTTAATTCAGCTGATTACTTGCTGCCTTTTATTTCATTTTTCTTTTAACTGCATTTATGCTCCATAGCAAATGCCTCTCAAAACCCTCTCTATTAAAGAGCAGGCACCTGCTCTAACTGAAATAACTTCAGCACTCATGGAACAGAGAGGTGATTAGAAACCTTAAATGGAGCATAAGATCCAGTTTGGTGCTAGCATCACTTAAATAATACATGCTTTTGATACTGCAAATCCTGCCTTCTAAGACGGGTGTGTGCTGTTCTACTGCCATATTTGGTTTCTGGGGGCAATAATCTGTAGCATCGGTTGCTCTGTGTTTCTTTGACTGAGAATATCTCATGGTATACACTATCTAACCCTGTCCTTAGAGGTTTTGGCCAATGTTTATGACCATATCTTCATCGGAAGAGGACATTCATTCAGATTGCTCTTCTTCATCATCTCAGTCACAGAAATCTTCTAACAGAAAAACCACCTACTTCAGAACTGCATTCTGTTTGTCCAGTTTGGAACCTGAAGTCCCAAATCAAATCAGCTTAGGAGCGTGAGTCATACACCAGTGCAACTGCAGAGAGTTTCCCCATGGTTTCTGAGGCCACTCAATCAGGAGAGAACACGCAGTAGCTGTGAACCAGCAGCTTTTGCACTGCCATTTCTATTCAGTGAATAGTAGAAGGCACCACCACAGAGGAAGCTGACAATGTCAAATTTATCCAGAAGGACATTTCTGGGGAAAAGATGTTCAACTTCAGAATTAAATTAAATCCATTCATGAATAAACAAATCAAAGCTTATTGACTTAAGCATCTAGCAAAATCTGTTTTCTCAATTTTTCTTATATGCTGAGAAAATTAATTCAGTTTGATAGTGGGGGGATATTGCTCTGAAATGCAGAGGGGACCATTCCTTCCTGTTACAGCTACCTGAACTTTCTCATTTCAGATCCTAAATGCAACCACATTATCAAACTTCAGTCTTCAATGAGAAAAGAAGCCTTTAAGCTGCATGTCTGCTTCCGGCTAAATTTTTCTGACCAAAGACTGAGCAAGATCTTTTTTGCAATTGCAGTACAGCCAGCGGGAACAGACCTCTGGACCCTGAGCCAGAAGTGGGAGCTAAGCTCTCCCACACGTAATGAATCCCTGATAAGGCAGTCAGCAGGAAGAATGAAGCTTTCAAAGTCACATTATACAGGGGTCAAGAGTCAAACATGCAAGAGGATAAAGGGAACACTGTCACCAAAGGAAAATGCAGGTTAACAAGTGCAGGAAATAATTCAAGTTGGTGTTAGCACCGGAGATGTCCTCTCCTCAGCTGGAAAACACAAGAGGAGGGTCTGCTGTAAGAAGGAGCAATTCTAAGAATAGCAAAGCTGCATCTTTGTAAAACGCATAAAAAATTTAATCAGCTGGTTACTTGCTAATCTAATAAGTCTTTTCTGCGGTAGGAAATTACTGCATAAACGTAAAATAAAGGCATAAGCAGCCATTTTCTACCATCTAAATTCTCTAAAATCTGCTCAAGCCACAAAATTAAATCCCAGTACATACAGTGAAATAGTACATTTGTGCATTACTTTTTTTTTTTCCTGTTAGGGAACAATGTGTTTTTTACTCTGGGCACTTTTTTGATTAGATTTCACTCCATGATTTTTTGTTTATACGTTGTTAGCTGCAGGCATATATGCCACAGCAATGACAAGAAAAAAAAAAAAGAGAGAGAGAAAAACATGCAAATTAAATGTGTTCCAACACTTATATCCTTCTGGCTCTGAAAATGGGGATTGGTACTGCACCATTTAACACACAGTACTGCCTTCAGATGAGGCTAGAGGAAAACAAGAAAAACTTTTCTCTAGATCTTGATGTTCAGCACATGGCGGTTTTGACGAATTTATGGCACCAGAACTGAGGACCTTTCTATGAACCATTTTAGGGCATCTCACCACAGTCAAGAAAGTGATCACAGCACATGTGGACCTTCTTAAACTAAATTTTAGTTAATAAACTTAAGAGTTGCTAGATCCAAATCAATGACAGCATCCTGCATTCATAAAACATAACCCAGGATTCTTTATCACAGAATGGCTCAGGTTGGAAAGGACCTCAAGGATCATGAATCTCTAAACCCCTTCCCACATGTAGGGCCACCAACCTCCACATTTCATACCAGCCCAGGCTGCCCAGGACTCCATCCAACCTGGCCTTGAACACCTCGAGGGACGGGGCATCCACAACCTCTCTGGGCAGCTGTTCCAGCACCTCACCACTCTCTCTGTAAAGAAATTCTCCCAGACATCCAACCTAAATCTTCCGACTCTCAACTTAAAACCATTTACCATTGTCCTGC